GGGTGGAGTAGGGTCAGGCCTGAACTGGGAGGTGGGCAAGATTTAACCTGAAGCAGGGGGATGGGGAGGTGAGGCCCAGGGCTGGACACAGGACTCCATCCCCATTGCCCCCCCATTCTCGATGGGTAATTTGCTAGTATTAGAATAATGGTTGAAGGATATATATTTACTCCATAGCATGGGTTCATGTATATGTATAGGTTAGATATTTATATGTAATCTGTAATGACTTAACTGCTACAACCGTGAAATCTGCAATGCTTAAATTTTAGGCTCTTGATCCTCACAGTGGAATCCAGAATCTCTGGCTTAATACAGGTTTTCTGCACTGTGCCTTGGGAGAATCAAGTACTTGAGAATTGAACCATTACAGTATGGACAAAGATACTGTTAGCCACCTTAAAAGGGGAAGAAAAATTCTCAGAAATGTGCAGGAGGTGCTGTTGTCTAACTGTTAAATCTGCATGATCCTATACGATTAGTTAAGAGATGTAGTTAGCCATCTTAGTGTGAAGTAAGCCAAAGCAGATATATATAGCACCAGCTTCCATGGGTTCCAGGTCACTTCCACAGATGCTGGGCATTTATAAAGTCCATGTGCAACTTTAAAGTTTAATAACTTTGGATGTACACATGGTAGTGTTGAAGTAAAGTTTTGAATAAGTACTGCCAATGCTAGAACTTAGTTTGGCTGCAAGTGGAAAATTCCATATAAGAATCAGAGCTGCCCCTTCTGTAACCTTTAGAGCTGTCAATCAGCCATGACCTAGTTTCTCCCTTGGCACATTCTCAGTAGGTGTAAAGTCTCTGACCAGACGCAGACTCAGAAGAGATTGCTCTGACGTCAGGGGACTAGAACTTTCTGGGCTAGGAACAAGCTAACTGGCCACAGGTTTCCTATAAATGTTTCTAGCCCCCACTTCAGGTGTGGGTAGTTGTGGGTGGGTGTGTGTGGTGGTGAGTTGGTTAGAGATAGTTTTGAAGTAGTGAGTGTAAAAGAGTTGGTCCTACAGGACAATTGGTTAGTGAGTTTAGAGGAGATTGCCATACTGAGGAGAGAGAAAGCTCCCTAATTTCTATAGAAGGCTTCTCCTCTATTGTTGATTCATGCTGATCTTCAGTGGCTGCTGAGACGACGGCCAGGCCACGATCAGCCCGACTCTCCAGCTATCAGACTTCTCATCTGCAGCAATCGTGAATTGGCATCACGAAGGAGACTGGACAGTTCACCAGTTACAGTTTGTTTGTCTATGTTCCACCATATGAGCTGTTGACCAGCCCTAGGACTAACCAACAGGCAGCCGCCCCTAGCCTCCGGGCTGGATAGCAAGGGCTTGTTGGGGAACCCTGTGGGCCAACAGACCCCTTTGTATTGTGTTGGTATTCAAAGACTGTAACCGAAGAATCAGCACCTACGCCTACAAAGCGTAAGTTGAATAAACCTTTGTTAATTTGAAACCAAGAACAATTTACGAGTCTCGGTTCTCCTCGCCTGAAAACCCGGCCTGTTTTCGTGTTCAGTTGCCACCCCGGCCCATCGTTACACTGGGGCTTGGTTCATCCCCCCAGGACAGGTAGAAGCAAACTGTAAATGGTGATTGAAAGCATAATTCATTAAGTTTTAGCACAATACAGTTCAAATTTCTAGACTTCAACATAACCACCATCTTTTGTGATATGTCATTCAATTCAGTTTTCCAACTCATAGAAAACATTTTCTAGTTGCTGCTGAGTGATTTCATGAATTGTATTTGTGATCCTTACCCTATACATAGTTTACACTATGCTAAAAAATATAATGAATTATATTTTCAATCGCCATTCAGGTTGCTTCTATCACTTGTATTTCCAAAGTTGTTAAAGTTTTAAGTTGCACAAGGACTTTACAAACACCTTGTATTGCTACAGAATCATGCAGATTTAATAGTTACATCATAAAAGCTTGTATCAGTTCCTTCTGATATTGCTATAATTCTTATATCCATACCCTAACCGGGAAGTACTGAAAATAGAATTATGTGAAGACAGCATGTTGAGTGGAGAATGAACCAACAGAAAAACACTAAGGAAAAGAATTGGTCTCTGGCTTTTAGGCTACAGCCCTGAGAAAGATGCTTTTCTCAGGAATTTTCTCTGAAAGGTATGTGGACAGGGGCAGATCCAGGGAGGGTATACTGATGCACTTGCACCACCCTTTGATTCCCACTCCACACAAATTTTAAAACCAACTGCCTGGCAGTGGCAGCAGCATTTCTAGTCAGGCAGTGCTGGGGGAGTCAACTGACTTCATGGCTCATTATAATCTACTTGTTCCCTTCTAAAGGCTTCATTCCACAGCTGTTAATGATCCTATCTTCTCTTTAATGGCCTTGATAGTCCACCAATCAAGGTATCCTTTGTTCTGCAATTCTGCAGTCTGTTAGCTGCTCCTGGTAATGAAGCTCCTACTTTATAGCTCTGCAGATTGTATGTGACTCATTCTAATGAAATTATATTTGTTTTTGCTTCAGACTGACACTGAATAATACAGCCCTAGGTCCCTAGCATATTAGCAAACCTTCCACAGTTTTTTTCCCCCTGAGAAAAATATATGTTATCTTATATGTGATGACGCACCTCGCCATCTGCACCGCCCTCCACCCCTTCAATATTCTAGTTCTGCCCATGTACATGGCTGCATCATTTATTTAAAAAACACCTCTTTTGTGGCCAAAGGAAGGGGAAAGAGATGGTGAGGATACTGGTGGTGCCGGTGCCAGTACCAGAGCCAGACACCTTAATTTATCAAGTAGCCTTGTCAGGATATAGAAAACTGAGATTTCAAATATAATTTATTTCTCCCTGGAGACCACACTAACAACCTGATAAGAGTTTACTCTGGAGTTGAAGAATGTAAGAAACAATTCAAAATATTCTGTGAAAGAGAACTAAAAGGAGCATGACTAGCTCAGAGGTTAGGGTACTTACCAGAGAAAGGGGGAGGCCCTTGAATGGAACTCAGGTTCCATCAAAAGCAACTGAATCCTGAGTAACCTTAACCACAAACATACAGGGGCATGCTCTCTCTTGTGCATTCTCTTTCTGGCCCAATATATCTTGAATCCATTTCTGTGCAGCTTGCAGGGGTGGAGTGCTCCCACACACCCAAAATAGCTTATAGCATTGTGTTTAGGAATTTCCTGGGAGGTAGGAGATATGAAGTGGAAATTCTATAAAGGAAGAGAGGGAATTGACACTGGAGCAGTATTCTGACCACTAGACCAGGGATGGCCAACCTACGGCTCCAGAACCACATGCGACTGTTCAGAAGTTAATATGTGTCTCCTTGAATCTTTACACAAGCACACAGTGACCAGCTTCCATTTGGTCACCACGTGCTTATGCAAAGATTCAAGGATATGCATATTAACTTCTGAAGAGCCACAGGTGGCTCTGGAGCTGCAGGTTGCCCACCCGTGCACTAGATGTTGAGGGCCCTGCATAACAACCTGAAATAGAGGTCTTGATTTAAAAGAAAGGAATGTCCACAGTATTTTGTATTGATTCCAATAATACTATGAAACTATAATATAGGGCTTTTGCACAATACACATTGTGTAAAAGCCAACCAGATAAAACTCCATACAGTTGATAAGCAAAGGAAGGCCTTGTGTCTGGATCCAATTGAGTGCTAGACATGAGGTAAGGTGCCAAGCTAATCAGCACTGTAAGGCTGAGTGTTTAATGGACACTCACAAAAGCAGAATTTCAACTGCATGAGGAAATTTAGGTTAGAAAACTTAGGCATCTGTATAGTTTAGGCACTCTCCAAAATTAGGCAGCAGCTGAGTGTCGGATTTCAGGATTGTACTTTTGGACTTAGGTGCCTAAATTACAGTGTTTAAGTTCATCCCAATACAGAAGCTTGAGTATTATTTTGGATCTGCCTCTAAGTTTGTTTGTTCAGCATTTGATGATGAGATTAGTTAACTTACGAACATTGTTATAGTTTTCTATCTTCCAGTCCCAATAACAACTTAACAATATGAAACACAAAAACACCACTTCACTTTCAGTTTCTAGATAATAATAGCTACAGATTATTACATACAAAATTTGCAAATACAATATGTTCCATAATGGCATAATTCTTGTTGCCAAGGTGACTGAGTAGAGTACGTCACTAATGTATAAGAAATTTTCAAAAGGGAATTCTTTGATAGATGTAGAAGAGATACAGGAATTTTATAGTGCCATGTGGTATATAAAATGTTTAAATTTTATTATCCAACAGAGAACAATTCTTACTCTGTCCATAAATAGAAGTTCCTGTTTCTGACAAGTCTAAATCATTACCTAAATAACACCAGTAGTAGTAATAACAGCAAAAGCAGCAGGAATCGCATTTCGGTCTCAGGGTGAAATGTAGGAGGCAATTCACTGGAGTATCTTAGTACATATTTAATTAAAAAAACCTGATAGCACTACTGATGCCATCAGTGCTATCAGCTGTTTAAAGTTAACCACATTCTGAAGTGGTCAGGTGACTCAGGGCCATATTCGGCTATTCTTCCAAAAATTCCAAATCTTTTTGGAAGAGAAATATTATTTGCAGCCCTCTTTTATAAACTACCCAGAGCCTAATAGGTAGGCAGTTTGGTTCTGAAGTTGCATTGTTACTCTCACTTCACTATTTGTTTACTTCTTTATGGCATTTTGATATTTCTTTTTTTCTAATTTGAATGAAAAGATGACATTTCAAAATTTCTGCTAGAATGAGAATGCCAAAAGCTTTTGATTCAAGAGCATCAAATTATTTCTTTCTGATAATGTTGAAACACTGCAGTACAAAATATTAATTGTAATACTTGGAACTTCAATAATATAAACCAATATTATTGCCTTACTATAAAACAAATTACATAAATTATTTTTGACAATATAAAATTGAAATGAAACATTTTGTCTCGTTGAGAGAAAATAAGGAAGGTAAAATAATTTATTTTACTTTTACATTTGAAAATTTCATTAAAAGTACTGTATCTACTCAAATTCAAGATGACTTCAACTTTAAGATGACTCCCCATAATAATTAGATTCTATACATTGAAAACTAATTGTTTGTTAATGTTTTCCACATATGGCATACAATTAATGGAAGGTTGTCTTAATTAAAACAAAGTCCTACTGACTTTTCCTTGGATATTTATTCCAAAGTTGGTCTTGAAAATTTCATCTATGATCTGGGATATAATTTAGCAATTTAATTAGCAAAATTAAAAGAAACAGAATATATGTAAAATCATAGTGAAAGCATGCTATAAATTAATATATGAATATATGTGCTTTCATAATGATACCACGGTGAACAGCATAATATCTTTCAATTAAATTCTTAGGTCTTCCCAATAAGGAAAAAAGGAGAAGTAATATAAAAGGCAGACAAACAATCTCAAGTAGTTTCTGAAGTTATAAGTACGTTTTTTAGAAATCCATGGCAGTATTTTTATGACACTGCATGTCCTTGTAACTACATTGTCAACAGATATAAGCATCACAAAGCAGTGTTTTACTCAGGTTCTAGAGTATTATTTATGCTACAGGATCCATCCCTACTGAACTAAATGGGTATGGGTGAGAGGCTGATCACTACCTTCTGGAAGAAATTTATTGGTCCATGAAGAGAACTGGCCATTCAACATCCCAAAGTCAGAGGTTAATTTAGGGTGCATGTAAGAGTTCAAATTAACCTAAGTTGCTCAGTGCTCCCTATCGATAGAACATTGTGCAACTGTCTGGCATTCAGGGGTAAAAGCACCTGTGCTAGTGACAGCCCGTGGCCAGGGCCCGCCACCTTGGCACATGTTCCAGCATGTGCTACAGTCTCCCTGGGCTGGCAGAGATTGCCAAGCACAGTCAAGCATGCAGGGCAGTCACTGGCTGCCACAGGATCCCCCACAGGGAACTCCCATCACAGTGACCCTTCTCTCCTTCCCACTCCAGAGTATTCTAAAAGCAACCCAGAGTGAGTCTCCTATCTTCTTAATTGCAATAGTATCAGTTTTTCTGCTTGGACACTTACATGTATCCCTACCCCTCATGCACAAGCCCATGGACCCAGGATCTATGGTGCATCCTTCTTGTCACCATGCATGACTTTCACTGGAGTCTGTGGGACATTACAAGTGCCCACCTGAAGATGACCCAGGTGTTCATGATGGCACATACTTTTCTGCCTAGGACCCAGGAGTCTAATGTCCCACACAGGGCCACTTACCAAATCCTACAGACACCAACTGTTCTGGACCGTTGAGTGATGATTTGGGGGCTCTGAGATGAGCAGCAACTGGTAAGAGTCAATCATTCTGGGCACCTGACAGAACAGGAAGTGGTTCCTAAACTTCTGTATGCACTGAGACACCTTTGTGAACATTGTTGTCCATCTGCCTCTCCCCTACAAAATTGAGCAGCAGGACATCAGCAACAGGGAAACCCAGCAGGAACTGCTACCTGCAACAGCCTCCTTTGTGTTATCAACCAGTTTGATGTGGGCAAGTCTGTAGCAGGGGAGGTGGTCTGGGATGTGTGTGAGATCATTCAGAAGTGTTGATGATCCTGTTTACCTGAGACCCTCCTCAACTGCCTGCCGATGGGGGTCTCCTGCCATCATCTGCAACTCCTTCCTGGTGGTGGCAGTGTATATATGCAGGACTGAGACAACTATCACTCAAGGAGGGAGAAGAGTTCATCATAGAAGAACACAGTGTGGCTTGTGCTTCTTGAGGTCTGGCTGGCATTGTGAGCTCACTTGATTTGGCTCTTCATTTATCTTGTTTAACTTTGTACTGAGTCCAGTCTCAGTCATGGCCCTGCACTTAGTTTGGAATCTACTAGATCACCTGCTTGTGATGAGCCCTACTGACATGCTCCTGGGTCTTCTTGCCTTAGATGGTGACCAGACCACATGTTTCTTGACAGTCCAATTCTGTCCCCAGCTGTAGGTAGTGGAAAATATGGACCAGGCTCTGGTGTAGCACTGGATGGCACCCTTGGGGTCAGGGTGTCTGTGGATGGGCCCGGGTGTCACCTCACAGATGGGTGAGGATTTGACTGAAAGTGTATAGGTGGGGGCACATACATATGAGTCTTGCAGTGTGGCTCCATCTCACTCAGACTCAAACTGGACCTGGGTCCATTTGGTTTGTCACCCACTCCAAAGTGATCCCAACTCAGCTGACCATGCCTCCCTAGCCACAACCTTTCCAAGGGCATCCTTCTGCCTGTACCAGCCCAGCTGGCCATGGCCCACACCCAAACTCCAAACTTTCCAGGGGATTCCACCTATAGCCCCCAAGACAGCTACCCATGCCCCCTGCCCCAGGCACAAACTTCCAGCATCATCTTGCCTGGCCGCAACCCATGAACTTGCCAGGGGCATCTACCAGCAATAACTTGGCCAGACCAGTCACTGTAGACAGATACTTTACCCATGGGAGTTAAGGGCATGGATGAATGGTCCTGGCAATGTCCTCCCTAAGCCCTTGATTCTGCAGGGTCACCTCTCAGCTAAGGCATTCCCATCCATCCTTTTATCTCCGCAACCCTGAACTGAAAAGACCAGCACCAGCTTCTGTACACTGGGGATAGGTCCATGTTAGGGTATGGATCATGGGGTGCTTGGGTCAGGATCTGGGGTTGTGGGTCTGTGTCTGAATCGTGGGGTTCTGAGTCTTTGGATCTGTGTCTGAGTCTTGAGGGCTTTTTTGTCTATGTGTTTGGATCTGCATATGGGTCTTAGAGTACTTCCAGTTGTGGTCTTGGGAGGTGTTGGGTCTCATTTAGAGTAGCTTAGTGTCCTGAAGTCTAGGTTATGTGCAGGGGATACAACTGTTGCAGCTCCCTACATCTCTGTACAACCCAGACTGAAAAGTGGGGCTGGAGAGAGGGGATGGACTTTTTACACCTTGAGACATCCAGGGGTGGGGTTTGCTTCACACTTAGTTGGAGGATGGAGTGAGGCCTATGTGTGTGCAAGAGAGGAAGAGCAAGAGCACTGCACACAGAGATACAGGAGGACAGCAAGCCAACTTCTCTCAATCGGGGAACTGTTTGTTCCTCAATTGCTTGTTCCTTAATAGGGGAACAAGCAATCATTAAATCACTCTAAGCATTATCATTCTAGAGTTAGACCTTGTAAGACAAAGTCTAACTTGAAGCCATGCATACCGTTTTTAGACCAGACTAACCATAGGGAACACTTGCCTATCTAGTGTTTCTACCACATTAAACCCAATTTTATCAATCTAAATGTAATGCTTGTACATATCTTTAGAGCCTAAACCCTACCCAGTTTGGAAGTAGGGAGTAATCTCAAGCCTCAGTTCCTGAATGGTGAGAGCAGGGCTGAGTACAATAGATGGTGTGTCACTTGGGGTCAGCACAGACACTCTGCATATGACCTGAGCATTGACATAACTGGAGCAGGAGAGTGTCTTGATTCAAGTAGTCCTGAAATAATAGGCTTTCAGTGACTAGGTCCAGAAGCAAGGAATGAAGTTGGATTTCAAGTGGTGCTCAAAGCTAAGCTTTTGAGTAGTCTGCCTGCAGAAAGGACTCTGAGAGGACTCTAAGGTGCATACT